AATATATTGAGCCAAAAATACTTTCTTAGAGAAATTCAAGAATTCTATAAAATTTGAAAGTCGATCAATGTAATTCATCATATTAACAGAATAAAGAAGAAAATATATATGACCTTCTTGATACTAAAGAAAAAGTATTTTACAAAAATTTATGAAAAATAAAATCCCACCCATCTAAAATAATAAATGTTTGCTTTGAAATAGATGGAAAGATGAAAGAATATAGAGGTTTCCTGTAAATCTACAATTATACAAATTTATTTTATTAAACGTTTTCACATACCAAGAACTATGATAAGAAAGCTTCTGATCAAAAAGCAAGAACTCTTAGAAACCACCAGGACCTGGAAGCCTGCTCAGGGTGCTCACACTCCAAGACACTGACAATACAGGATTGGGCCTAAGGACCCAGACTCTGCTATCTGATATCATGGCTCCAACATCTGCTCCTTTGCCAGCTCTGTAGTCTGCCCACTTGCCAACTCTGTAATCATAGAGCTACTCTTAAGTAACTTCTAGGTGCCAGTTTCTTATATTATAAAATGTAGATAACAATATCATTACCTTATAGGAGTTCTGTAGGGTGAAGGGAATTAAAACAAGTGTAGAACTTAGAACAGTCCTTTGGGAGACCATGGACTTTGCAGGAAAGAAGGCAAACAGATAGCATTTCTTGTAGACTCTTGCACTTGCCTCTTCCTGCTCCATTCTCTCTAATCATGGTGAACATTTACTGAGTTCCTATTAAGCAGCAGGTGCTGTATTAAATACTTCACAATATTGTTCCATTTAATCATCCCGATGCTACTATGAAATAGGTACAGTTATTTACATGAAAATTGAATTGACTCACTCCATTTATATAGACACCCACACCATTAACAACTACTAGGTTTTCATCATATCTTTTATTTGAGAATCTTTATGTCATTTGGGGTAATCTTTTCTATGTCTGACATATATATATATATATATATATATATATATATATATATATATATATATATGAATTTTATAGGTTAAATCTCTAAAGAAAATTTCATTTCCTGGATTTTAAAATTTTCTTGGTTGTCAATTCACCATTGCCTCCATATATTGCTCACCTGATTATTGACTACTTTTACCTTAAAATATGCTATTTTATGGACTTTTTCTGAGGCTGGAAGCCCCCACTCTCTGGCTTTTGTGCCTGGTAATGGGCAAACCATGGTACACGTGTAGAAATGTGAGCCAATAATGTTGACTACATACAGAAGTGAGTATTCTTGGAGTCCATGTGGGGACAGTTTTCAGTAGCCGTTTCATATATTAGTAACAGAAGGATAGTATTAGGGGACAACTTAGACTCTCCCTAGTGTTTGAAACAGACTTGACTCTTTTGGAATACTTTCTTAGAAATAAATTGATCAAGTCTTCTGTAGTTTATGCCAATGGCTATGTCAGCATGGCTGATTTGGAGACTAATTACATGATTTCATAGCTATTCTGGGAAAATGTGAACATACTGGAAATATATGGGGGAGGGTTTGAGAATGTTGACTGAAAAATGGAGACAAGCCAGACTGTTAATGATTTCCATGATACTCAACGGAAATCCTCTCCCATGGTCTCACAGATTTTCAAATTACAGTTACTTAAGAAGAGATTACATAAAGTCATTTCTTCCGGTCTTTAAAAAAAGAAACAAAAATCTACTTTAAAATAAATTATTTTTATTCAACAAACACTTATTGACCAAATTTTGCCTTGAATCCTATGTGAAGGAAGCATAGTAGATCTCACACAATAGTAAATCAGATGTAAGGGCATAATAATCTCAGGAAGTTCTTCAAAATTACACAGGAGGAGAAGGGACATGTTAGGGAACATGAGAGCATATCTATTCAAGAAGATGAAGGAACTCAAATCAATCATTTTAAGTGTCAGCTTCCTATGCCTACATTAATATACACGTGGAATTATACTGCATATATCCTTAAAAATAATTTAATTATTGAATTCATTAACAATAATTACACGTGAGAGAGAAACTAACTCAACATGGCTTTAACAACAAAGCAGTCCATGTCATCAAAGACTCAGTTTCTCTCCATCTCTCCACTCTGCCTTATATGATACAAGTTTTATCTTCCAGTCTATATAATGGTCTTACTGAGAAACTTTAGTGTTTCCCCGATGATTGCAGTATAGAGCTACAATAAACTAACTTTATTTTGCACATCAGTATCTAAAGAAGGAAAAAAAGATGGCTTTTCTGGAATTTTCCCAAGAATTGAATTTTTTCTTTGTTATCTTTCTTTTTGAAAGATAGCTCAGAAAGTGTCATCTTAAACATTATTTTTATTCTAGTACAATTATGCACCACTGTCTGAAACTATCACTATGATCAGAGGATGTGAACACTGATCACCTTATCCCAACATGGACTATGTGTTGCACAACAGATATGTTTTGAGCTCCAGTGTGCACTCATGAACCTCTATCCTTTGATTATCAGACCATTTCTTCCTTCTCTAATGATTAGTTACGCTTTGGGGATGGTGGGAACATTCTATCAAATGTCCTCCATCAGGACCAATGCAATCCAATTAAGAAGAGTTTGATATTTCAATTTCTACCTTCCCAGGATGCTTCACTTTTCCTATATAGATTACCCATATTCCAAGAGTGGTGATACATGCCTGTAATCCCAGCCTCTCAGGAGGCAGGAAGATCACAATTTCAAAGCAATCTCAGCAACTTAGAGAGGTCCTAAGCAACTTAGTGAGACCCTGTTACAAAATAAAAATAAAAAGGGCTTGGGATGTGGCTCAGTGGTTAAGCACTCCTGGGTTCAATCCCCAGCACATAAATAAATAGCCCATATCAATGAGCAGCTCTGCAACACCAAGGATTATGGGAGACGTTGTCCTTGTAACACCACATTTCCTCCAAAGAAATGGATACCTATTGACTTGTCATTGTATAACTTTCACTTTCAACACAGATAGGAACCCATCTATTGATCCAAATGAAATCATGCATGTTCACTTTTAACCTTTTAAAAAGTGTAATAAGAGAAAAGAGAACAAATCATTATTTATAGCTGACACCTCTCAAACACACTTTGTGACCACCCTATAAATCAAGATATTGAACATATGCACAATCCCAGAAATCCCTCCACATGCCCTCTCCCAAGCATTAAATCCTACTAAGACCAATTAGTATCGTGTTTTCTTGCACCATAGATAGGTTTTGCCTATACTGACTGTATATTAAATAGAATCACACAACATCTTCTCTGCCCAACATCTTTAGTTTGACATTATGCTGTTTTATGTTGTTATAGTTTCATTCAGTCTCATTTATATTGTGATAAAGAAAAATAACTGGTGAATTTATCATTTCACATAGCAAAATAAATAGGTTGGGGTTTCAAATGGTATAAACTTCTTTCAAAGATGCAGCACTAAGTTTGATTCTGGTGCTCCAGAAGCCTTCTAGGTAGTCAGATGGCAATGAGCTCAGCCCACTCTATTCAGACCTAAGGATAACAGCTAAGTTATTAAGTGTAGTCAAAAATTGTAACAAGTACTTTACATGGATTAGCTTAGTTAATCCCCAAAATTTTAGATGCTTACTGTTTTATAGAAGACGAAATTGAGAATTTAAAGAGGTTATGAGATTTTTCTAAGGCCAAAGAGCTATTGCATAGTATAGTTAAGATATGAATCCTGAGTCTTTCTTCTCCTTTTTCTTTTTCTTTTTCTTTTTTTTTTTTTGTAGTTGTAAACAAACAGAATGGCTTTATTTGTTTATTTTTATGTGGTGCTGAGGGTGAAACCCAGTGCCTCACACATGCTAGGCAAGCACTCTGCCACTGAGCTACAGCCGCAACCCAAATCCTGAGTCTTTGGGGTCCATGTTCTTTGCCATAAGCCATACCCTTCTCTGAGACACTCATTGACATAATAACACTTTCTCACTATTCAATGCAATGTTAACATTTATCTCTACTACACTCCAGAAGCTACATCACATCAGGAATAATAATAAAAGAAAAACAATCTTAAATAAATTTCTACTGCTTTAAAAAGTAATATCTGTCATTTCAAAGATGATATTTGATTAAGTTTGTCAACTTGTTAAGGAACTTAAAAACTTGGTTTGCAACCAATAATGAAATTCCCTCTTTCTTCCTCCTTAGAGCTTCACAGTTTTCATTCCAATATACTTCCTCTACCATGAAGTCCATGGTTCCTGGGTTTAGGTCAAATACCATGTCTCATCATTCAGTTATAGTAATTAATTCAGGGCAGGGCACATCATCCAGTTCAGGTGAAACAACAAATGTTTTCTGGAGGCTTGGGGAAGAAATCTTTCTTGCTCTTCTGTTGAAGTTACTTGTAGGGTAATCTTGATTCTTCTGGTCATTGGGAAATGTGGATGGACTAGAATTGCAGCTGTTTCGCTACCATCAGGGAAGTCAGCCTGAAGATGAAGCCACGGTGTAGGGGAATTAAAATCCAAGATAATTACTAATGAAAGAACAGCCCAGATAAAGTCACACCTGAAGTTACCTACCCGCACCTTTCCACCAAAATCATTACATAAGAAAGACCACAATACCAGGGCCATACAATAATACCCTACAGACCTATAGTAATGTCTCTCAACATCATACATTTAATTGCCCTGCTCAAAAACAGCTTCTCCATTTTCTTCTGTAAAATACTAAGGCCCTTGTCCCCCTGAACCCCTCCCCTCTCTGCTCCACACTTTTATTCCCATCAGTTAGAATTGTGTTGTCTCCAAGTCAGAGTTGGGTTTGCTCAAGACTGCTTATTCCATTTGAGTTTATTATAGTAAATACGCAATTCAAATAAATATAAAAAGAAGTAACAAAGTGTGGGGTTTTTTTTCTAGAAGAGAAAGAGATTTATAACACATCATGCCATGTACCAATTTCTTGGGGCACATGGAGAAAAGCCAACATTAACTTTTAAGTCCCAGGTAGACTATGTTTCTGATCTGGGCACTAATGGGGACATTAATTGTCCCCCCCCCCCAGTGAATCAAGACCAGCAAATTCTCTCCGAGAACTGTAGCACACCAGGACAAGTTCTGTGTCGGGATGTGACTCTAGTCTCGGCCAAAGTGTGGGTTATTACAAATAAATCTAAGATTAACTGAAAACAATGATGTCTTACAGAGATATATTGTTTTTCATTATCTTTTATGTCTAAGAACTGTAATATCTCTTTAATATTAGGAGATCAAAAAGAATGAAAATCCAAGATAATTACTAATATAAGTAATTTCTTGTTAAATAAATATTTTCCTGGGAAATAAGCTATTTTTGTTGAACACTGCCATTTAAACAGCTGAATGTCAATAAATCATTGGACTGATAAGTCAACCTTTATCTTATATTCTAAGAGGTCTGAGTTTTTTCTTACTGCTTTTTCAAAACTCTAACATACAAAATAAAACTAACAAAATTGTATTCTAATTATTTACTTCTTTCTTCATTATATTCAGCCTCATTTTCAGTTATTTGTCTTACCAGATAGAATCTTTCTAATGTGGTTATTGTTTTACCATCAGGGAAGTCAGCCTGAGGACCATGTTAAACATTCTAATTTCAATATAGTTATCTCATTTAATATCAATCTATTAAATAGCTACAAATTTATTTGTATTACAAGAAGAATCACCTATTTATGTATTTTTGAGTTAAATATGCTAATTAAATACTTGAGTTTAAATTTAAAGTTCTGGAATAAATAATTTTCAAAGGAACCAAAATAATAGAAAGCAGAATGTGAAGTGATTCCCTTTCACAGAGGAATGGTATAATGCTATTCCTGTTCACATTTTTGATGGGTTACCTAGAGTTACAAATACATTTGGACTTCATTTTTAAATTTCATTAAAATAAAACCTTAAAATTTATATTTCTCAAAAGACTTATTTATGCTTCCTATTTTCACTTCCCTGACTCCAACATACATACTTTAACTGCCTAGAATCTGACTTCTGCCCCATCATTATTATCACCAGTAAGCTCCATGTCATTAAATTCAACTGGTATTTTTAGGTTCTCAAATTTCATTATTTGATTTCTCAAGGCCTTTCACCCTTGATGAACCAGTTTTTTGATTCCACATTGTAATGTGATCTTATCTCTCTAACCACTCCATCTTGTGTGTGTGTGTATGTGTGTGTGTGTATGTGTGTGTGTTTGTGTGTGTGTGTGTGTGTGTGTGTGTGTTAGGCTTATTCTTTTCTACATGGCCATTTAATTCTGATGTTCCTTCAATGTCTGTCAATCCTAGAATCTCTTTTCATCTCATTCTTTACTTCTTTTCTAGGAAATTTCATGCATATGTGATAGTTTTTATATACCCTATTGCACTAGCCCTTGCATGAAGATGGATTGCAATGTCTATCATTATACTGGACAAGTCATCTGATTCCCAAACCTGTTATCTAATTGTGGTAAACACTAAGAAGCTTAGATTCTACTCCCTTCAAAAAATAACCCACCACCCAGCTGCAAAGAATGTGGCAAGCTGACAGCCTTTGATTCTTGGCCATATCAGAGTCCATTGCAGGTTTCAAGGCAAAAGACTACTTTTCTTGGGATAACAGTGATGATGCAGCAAGGTAATGGTACAAAGATCTGTCCATATCCACACACTACAGATCTCCTCTGACAGATAATCTTTTGTTCCATCACTACCCAATGGGCCAACAGAGGCTCTGTCAGCTCTGTATCATGGTATCAGAGCTTCCCCTGTCCAATCTTGCTTCCTCTATTCTCCTTCACAAAGTTATGATCCAATAAAATCTTCTACTCCATTTCAGCATCCACTTCCTGGAAAGCCCAATATTTTATATCAGGAGTCATCCAAGAAAACCTGTGTAGATAGACTTTGTAGATGGGACTGAGCACATAAGATTTTACTAGTACATCTTAAGACCCAACATAAAGTATTAACTTTGCAGAAGGGACTAAACAACTTAGGCAAAATGGGCTGACTGGTTGATATTAGCCAGATTTTTTCAGCAGACATCCCAAGGCTGGCTAATAGCTACAACAAAGAGTCAAAATAACAGAAGTGGAAGCTGTGCATTGCCCTATTGTATAAACTCCCATGGCTAACTCTGAACATTTTCCCTGGCAGTACCAATGACCAAAGTTAAGACCCTAGTATAGCACTAGTCTTCAAGGAGACCAACTGTCCACTTGGTAGCAAATTGACTCTTTTAGATCCCTTTCATTCTAGAAGGCTAGCAATTTTTTTTTCTCATGGGAATAATCATCTTATGGATTTGCTTTTTCTGTCCTCAAAGACCTAGTCAGCACCATTATGCCAGATGTATAAACATGGATTTTCTTATAACATAGCATCTGACCAGAGAACTCATGTTAGAGCAGAGACATTATGTAGGTGAATACTGAGCATGGGATACACTGGCCACCCCAAATCTGTTATTCAGATGGCATTATGAAACAGCCTTCTAAAGGCACAGCTAAAACACAAGGTTGAAGGCAATAATTTGTTAGAATGAAGTACCATTTTATTAGGATACAATGCATGCTGTGTCAGAGATCTTTTTATAGTTCTACATCCCCAATAAAAGACAAGGATATAGGAACCAAGTATGGAAGAAGGAATGATTACATTTCATCAATTCCAATGACCCACAAAGGACTTTAAGGCTTTCTATTCTCTCCTCTAGGTTCTACAGGGAGCACACTATTGCCAGGGGACACAATTAAGGATCCTATTGAACTAAAAGTCATAAGCACCACCTGAGCTCTTAAAGCTCCTTGTGTCTCAGAACCAGCAAACATGGCAAGGTGTTACATATCATTACAAGCAAATGACTACAGTCGACAAGAGATTAGGGCTCTGTGACATAGTCACAGTAGGGAGGAGTAAATATAAATCTCAGGAATTCACTCAGGTACCTCTCAGTTTTTCTCTCTCTCCCAGTTATGACTATGAATGGAGAGGTGCAGCAACTCTAGCCTGAGAAAGATTGCCAGGAGCTCAGATCCCTTAGGAATGGTAGGTGGCACAGAAAAGGGGGGTCACCACCAAACATCTCACCAAGAGCAGCAGAGATGCTATCAGAGGTTGCAAAATGATAGTAGCAGGGAAAATTAGTGAACAGGTTAAAACATCAAATGAGAGGGATACTAAATTCAAAAGAATCTCTACCATTTATGACAATATCATCTTATTATCTCTTGTTGTTTGACTCACTTGGTTTTGTTAAATTTCTTGTATTTAATTTGTAAATTCACTTTGGGTTTATAAATGTGCATCATCTATGTGCATAAGGTTAAGTCTAGTTCTGTGGTTGCATTTATAGAGTAACATCTGTCATCACCAAGAGGCCATGAAAGTTTTTTGAAAGGGACTTTTGATGAAATTACATGGGTATGAGAAAACACTACACAACATTAATACTTGAATATTGGGACTTGTGCCTGTTTCCTTAAATTTTCTCTGAATCAGAATAGGATCAGATTGGAGCCTGAGCTAAAAAAGCTCTCCAAGGGAAATTATTCTGGGGCAGGCATTAGAAAGCCAAAAAGGCAAGCCCTAGACCAGGCTCTGCCCTTCTGAGTTTTCTTGATCCTAGTACAACAAAAATGTATTGTGACAATTTGTTACTACTGAATAGTTGCTACTCAGCCTGGAAAGTTTAACTTTTCAACATGAATAAAACCACATCAGTTCTTGCAGCTTTCCTACAGGTACTTCTTTCTCGTGTAATTTTATTTTGAGTTGCAGTTGGACACAATACCTTTATTTTATTTATTTATTTTTATGTAGTGCTGAGGATTGAACCCAGCGTCTTGAACGTGCTACCTCTAAGCAACAACCCCATCCCCTTTCTCATGTAATTTTTAAGGATTTTACGTAACTCATCTGACAGTAAACCTAAGTATGTTTTTCCATATGACTTGAAATATGGTCCTTCCAAAAATCCAAAGTACGCAGTAATTGCAGTAAGTTAATCTAACCAATTACTCTATTTTGCTCTTAGTTTATGGGAAACTGAAGCTTAAACAATTTCATTATGGTCCCCAAATGTCACTGAATAGCATGATAATAACTAAGATAATCGTTGTGACAATTGGAAAACTGCCAATGACACTGAAGAGATTGAATGATGATCCATATCAAACAAGATGGTCACAGTGTTACAAATTGCACTTTGATTCAGATGTTTCCATGAAGAAAAACTGGAATAAAATCAAACCAACTAGGTTTCTCTTATCAATATGGATTCAAAAATTCAGCAAAACTCAGTTGCCTAAATTTTAAGTGAATAAACTATTAATTTCCTACTTTCACACCTAAGTTTGTGACAGAAAATCGTATCCCCAGATTTAACTAGCAACCTGCAGAGATTCTGACTCCAAATGATACTTTTAATATCAATAAGCTTGAAGATCTGTGGACTAGAAGAACAGTGTAGAGTAATCAGACCTGACTTTCCTTTTCCAGAAAAAGAAAACAAAAGATCTATTTCAGGAAAATTGGTGTTGAATTCTTTGCCTAAAAAAAATAAACTAATTTATTAATTCAAATAAGAAAGTTTTGGACTGTTAAGAACCAAAACTGTCTAAAAAACTACAGTGTCAATCTACAGTGGCTTAAATCCACGAAGATCTCAATCTCTTTCATGTTCTGAGCATGCAGTTAGGTAACACTAAGTGATCCTACCAAGTCATAAGGAACTTAAACATTGTATTTTACCATTCTTATCTTATGGCTTCCATTTTCTGATGGTTAACTTTAACCAGGCCATTGGGTGGCCAAATTAACCATGATTTCTGGGTGTGTCTGTGAGGGTGTTTGGGGATGAGATTTAAGTCAGCGAAGCAGTAAAGTACACTGCTCAGTGTGTGCAGACATCATCCAGGCAATTAGGGGTCCAAGAGAATTGGAGTTTACACCATCAGCTCTCCAGGTCTTCCGAGTCAGACTAAATTATACCACCAATCTCTTTCCTAGATCTCCAAACTTCACAGCTTCCATAATCTCATGAGCCAATTCCTCATAATACATATAAATAAAGATCACCTATTGGTTCTGTATCTCTGGAGAACCCTAATTCATACTCT